CCCCAAAACCCCAAAACCCCAAAACCCCAAAACCCCAATTTAGTAAAATTATTTGGCAAAAGCTAATAAAATTTTAAGTTAGTGATTATGGGTAATTCTTGCCTTAACACCAAAAATACTACTATGGACAACAAGAGACCAAAAACATCTGGCAAGGGTAGCTTCAAAGCAAGCAATAGAGCAAGTGTCAATGAGCTGGACTCAACAACAGACAAACTTTCGTTTCTTAAATAACCCCATCACTCGTCCAGCAGGGTTCGTAGAAGAGAGCGAGAAGCCATTGAATGATACTGAACGCCAAAGTCTAGCGACAGCTTCTCTTTTAGCTGGTCGCCAGCCGAAAGAAGACTCCTCTCCAGATAAAAATGATTGATTCGAGAAAGTTAATCTCAGAGATAGTGATCACCCACACGAAGAGATTATTGTTGATTTTGACAATACAAATGACAACATTATAGATAGCATGTACAGAAAAGATCAGAGTGAGCTTTATCAAATCCAAAAGCCAGCAGATTGTAGAGATTCTTTATCTTTCAAGCCCAGCAAGTTCCTGAATTCAAACACCAACAACAGCACCTCTGAAGTGCCTATGTCCTTCGGTTCTGGAGTTCTTGGTAGAGATAAATCCATGAGGAACAGTCATGATGACCTATAACTTAAAGTTTGCATAGATATATGTTTTGGAACTAAATTACCAAGATTTTGGCATTTAGGAATCGATAGGTGACAAAAATATATCATTACAGTCTGTAGGAAGCCCAAATTTGCTATAAACTTTGGAAAAGTCCCCAAAATTTATATGCAAGCTTACCTAAAAATTCGATCAATATTTAGCGGAATAGATTAGCCTCGATCAATAAACTTATAAAGTTTTCAATTTTTTTTTAAATTCCAACATTTTCAAGATAAAATTTCTAGATTTCCTCATGTATTCTCAAGGCTTATATTTATTGAAGATTTGAAATCTAGTGGCAAGCAAGCAGAGAGGATAGAGGAAAGGAGTCCTTGTCCTCTCAGAGTACAGCCACGGCTGTACTCTAGAAGGGAAATGTCTTTTCTATCGACATAGCTTAGGGCAACTTGATTGATATAAATATTTCCAATAATAGATTTTATGAAAGGGGTTTTGGGGTTTTGGGGTTTTGGGGTTTTGGGG